TGGTGGAGGAATTATGATTTGGACATTACAGATATTTTAGACATTAATCTGAGGTCAGTTCTGATGTTTTTTAAAGGGGTTATAAGACAATGATCTAAAAACCTAAAATGGCATTCCTGTAACAGTGGCTTGTTTCTCCGCCATTCCAACATTTTTATCAGCAGTACATGAGGATGATTGACAGCGCTAAGACACCGCCTCCTGGATCTGATTGGTTGTTACTGGTCTGGAACAGTTCATTTCTTCAGGCAGAAATAACAGGTGGAGGAGATCGATCTTTTCACAGATTATCTGCTCGTAACCTACTGCCATGACATGGTGACAGTTTTAACAAATATGGAAAAAACATATTTTTGTAAAAGTTAAATACTGCAGCTTTAAAGGAGGTAAGAATATTACATGTACTGATCAAATGAATGAGTCTGTGTAGAAAAAAACGTTTAAACGTAGTTGATATGTTACCTTCTCTCAATGAATATAAACAATGAACTCCACAATCACAAATATATTTTATTAATTCCAACATCTGTTACAATTTTATAAGTTAACACATCTGCACAAACACTGATGGGAGGAGAACAACTGCAGAAATACACACAAAAAAAACAATAAGACTGAAAACTGAGCATCCAGTTCCTGGAAATCTCAGATGACATGCCGTGTAAATAACCAGCGGATCAACACACTCAGCTCGTTAATCAGCCGTTTATCGGAAATCCTCTGCGGAAAACATGCCCTTGGCCCGGCGCAGGATGGAGTCCTTGGACGCGTCATACGGATGCTCTTTGGATGGGATCTCCAGCACCGCCGGGATTGACTCCATGTGGGCGTCGATGGCGTGTCGGATCATCTCGGCGATAAACTGGTTGATCAGAATGATGGCGATGTCGTTCCGCGCCAGGAAGCTCCTGCAGGAGGAAACAAATGTCCGAACAGTTAAAATAACAGGGAAATCTTAACAGGAATTAGTTCAGATCTATGAATCTGTTCAAATGTAGAAATCTGTTCAGAGTCAAGAATCAGATTTAAGTCGGGAATCTGTTCAAGACTAAGTTCAGAATTAGGAATCCATTCAAGAATCAGTAATTTGTTCAAGAATTAAAAAAAAAAAACCCTAAGATTCAGCATCAGATTTTACATCAGAGTCAGGAATCTGTTCAAGAATGTGTGCAGAATTAGGAATTTGTTCAAGAACCAGTTCAGAGTACGCTGTCTGTTCAAGAATAATAGATTCACAATCAAGAATTGGATCAAAGTCAGGAATCTGTTCAGGAAGTTGGAATACATTTAAGATGTTTTAATCCATAATGAGGTAGATTAAAATTTTAAAATAAATAATCTAAATAATAAAATACTTCCATTCTAATATTATTTTTGGCTCTTAGGGTATTCCATACAGACATTGCACCAAAATCTTTAAAAAGTCGTTTTTCTTTGACAACCAAATTAAAAAAAATATATAAGAACAATGCGATATCAGACGAATATTTACAATACTATCAATACATTTAATGAGGGCATTCTGGTTGAACATAAAGTTTTATATGCGATCAACAATCAATTAATCTTGAAAACGGTTTCATTTTCAAGAGAGTCTGGTGTAAACAACAAACATATTAACATTTTGGTTAAATTGACAGTTTTCATTTTTGTGTCGTGATTAATATAATTATAATCTCTCTGCCAAATTACACCAAAAAACAGATTATAGGAAATAAAAACATTAAAACATTAAGTGTATGAGTTGGGAGGAGCTAGTGGGCCCGAACCTCAAGCGACACCAGATTCCATTCAGAATTTTACAAATTTAATATTCTCATCAATAATGCTGTCTTATTATTGTTGATTTCACCTGAGGTCTATTTTAATTTTGTATAAATTTAAAATGAGAGATGTGTAGATGTGAGTATAACAGTGTATCGGGCCTCACTTGAACGTCTCCTCGATCTCCGTGATGCTCGTGTCCTTCTCCACCACCAGGAAGTTCGGCTTTCGGTTCTTGTTCAGCTCCCCGATCCCACCGAGCAGAAAGCCCGTCACCGTGTCCTCGTCCCCGATCACGGCGATCAGTTTGCCTCGACCCGCCATAGCCAGCTGCTTTGGTCCAGTAGCACCACGGAGAGACGGTTCGGATCAGCAGGCTTGATCATGTGAGCCGCTGCGTCAGTGGTCACGTGAGGGTCACGCAGCGACAGCAGGCGGAAGTGAAGCTGCAGTTAGAAACAACAAAGCGAAGCAGAAAACTGTACAGTATGGTGAGGGTTTAAACTTAATATTTTCTCCGTTTTGTTTCTTTGGAAGCTGATAAGACCTTCACGGAAGCCTGTTTTTGTTTGCTTGTTTGTTTTCCAGACGACGGCGGCTCTGACTGCGGGTCTGGAGCGGATTCCGGACCAGGTCGGGTACCTGGTCATCAGTGAGGACGGAGTTCTGGCTGTGAGTTTGGGGAAAAACACGAGTTTCTCCACGTTTAACCATTTATAAAAAGTACAAAACACAGCGGATGGAAAACCAAAAGTGCCACATTTCTCTATCGACATCTTTTGCAGCAAGCTGATCAAAACATGGTTGAAAATCAAGCAATGTTTTGTGGCAATATGATTCTGAAATTAACTCTTTTGTTGGAAAACTTGCAACCCAGTCAGGTAGACTTAGGATTAAACTTGATTTAGAAATTTAGGTATTTTTTACAAAACGTTCACATTTTTTACAGTATTTAAATTGCGATGGAGTATTGGGATCACAACAAAAAAATAAAAATAATAAAATTACGATAAAGTTTAACTAATTAGAATAAAGCGATAATACTATGAATTCTGGCATTATTTTTGAGCTCCTTGTAATATTAGTTTATCCAAGTACATTTTCCTTTTAATATTAGTATTTTTTCCTTTTAATAATTTTTTTATGAAGTGATATTTTTTCCTAAATCTTATCTATTGATTACACATACATATTTCAAGCCTTGATTTCTTTTCATTTTGATAATTATACCTTTTATGTTTTGTGATTTTTGTATATATATATTTTTTTCTGCGAATGGTTTTGAAGTTACATATTTGTATTTAAAAAGTTTCTGATATTTTTATTGAAGTATTTAAGACAATATAGTGAGATTCTTTTTTTTTTTGTCAGTATTGCACTCCCATACTTCGTTGACAGCATCAGTTGTTGGAAAGCATTGCTAATCCATCTCATTTGCTTTTGCTGTTCATCTTGGTTTGAAACCAACAACGTCCGGTTCTGACAGAACTCCTCACCTGTTCAGTCTGCAGGTGAGCTGGAGAACGATGAGCACACTGCCGGTGTGATGATGCAGATGGCCCGGACGGCCTGCCGCTTCCGGTTATCCGGGTCTACAGACGCGCCGTTCAAACGCATGTCAGGTAACGAAGCCGCTCGTTTCACCAGAGAGAGATCTGATTGGCTCAGCAGCTAACCGACCTGTGTGCTTCATATTTGCAGTAATCCTGGAGGATTTTGTGTACGTAGTGACGATTTCAGGTCAGAAAGTGTTTGTGGTCAAACGTCAGAACAACCAGCACGAACCAGTCAACGTGTAGGAACCGGAGCGAACGGGACGAAGGCGATGCCGTAATTTTGTGATTTATTTTTGTTTATGTTGTCTGTAAAATAAACAATTTGAAACTGCTGCTTAAACTTCTGCTTTTACTGCCAGTTTTCTATGGAAATTTAAATTTGATCCTGAATCAAGTTGCTGATGAAATTCAGGTAGAAGTTACAGAATGACTCAGGGACTGACTCGGCCTAATGATGGAAAAAGATCTCATTTTTAATATTTTCCCTCTGGTGAGCCAGACTGTTCCATCTTTAAGAAATGTCTTAATCAGTTCTCAATAGTTGTCTTGTAGGGATTGTAGTATATCTTGGTTGCTTTTCAGAAAGTCCTTATAGCTTAGCATGAACTAAACAGACATATCAAAGCAGAACAGATTCCTGTTTTTGAACAGATTCATGCCTCCCTGGAGGCTCGCCACAGGAAGCGCACAAGAAGAGCCGGCGCTGCTGGGAAAATATTTCCTCCTTCTGATGCGGCAGAACGCTGCTTCGGCATTGCAGCCAGTAATGCAGCAACACCCCAAAGGTAGCAGCTCAGGGCGTTCAGAACCACCGGGGAGGCTTCTTCTTTATTCCTGGTTTCTGCTAGAAAACAGTCAAGTTTCTCTAACGGTCCAGTCAAATCCAAGCCATAACGCCATACATACCCTGATTAACGTTTTTAGCAAGCTTTATCTGTTATTTTACATCAAAAGTGTCTAACCGTTTTTCTTCCTGTTTGTTTTTATTTGAACTGAATTTAATCATATTTTGTTCCGGTTCCTGTTTTTTAAGATTCTTCCTTTTGAACTGATTCTTTTAAAACTGACTCTTCCTTTCAACTTATTCCTATTTTTTAACAGATTGTTCCCTCAAAGCTGATTCACATTTTTTGTAATATTCTCTGAACCAATTCCTGGGTTTGGACATTTTCCTTTGAGCCAGTTCCTCTTTTTGAAGATTCTTTTGAGCTGAATATTTTTGAACAGTTTCTTCCCTCTTAACATATCTATTTTTGAACAGCTGCTTCCTTTGAACCAATTCCTGGTTTTCTATTCCTGATTCTTCCTCCTGAACTTATTCCATATCCTGAACAAATGTAATCCAAGAGGATTAATGATATTGGTCAGATTCTTCATCAACTAATTCGTAATATTCAAAGATTTAACCGACTCCTTGGTTCTTATATCATAATCTTCTGATGGCAAAGTTTGAAAATCAAAGTTGGTTCTGATTATTGATCAGCAGGTTAAATACTGAAAAATCCTATTTTTTTCTATTCATTAAATGCATTAAACTTGACTAATTTTAGTCCACAGATACTAAAACGACCAATGTGTATTGTTTCATTCTTGTAAAAAAATAAAAATAAAAAAAAATAAAAATAAAAAGCAGGTCAAAGGTCAAGGTGAAACTTTAGTGAAAAAGTGCACTTAAAGACATCTGAGAAGAAAAAAAAACCTTTATTGCATCGTTGTTGCGTCTGTGTTTCTTCCTCTTCACACTGATAAGGAATGACGAGGCCGTCAGGTCCGGCTCTGTGGAATGAGTCACATGACCAGGTAACTGTCACCTGTTGTAAGCCCCGCCCCCCCTCTCCCTACAACATCTGGTCACATGATCTGGAGTTAAAACAGATTAAAAGAAAACAAACAGACCTAACAAACAATAGAAGAAGAGGATGATGGGAAACCAGGTGAGCTCAGAGTCCATGACATCACTTCCTCCTACAGATACATTTATAATTTAAAAAAACAAAAACACCCCAGAAACAGTCCTGTGAAATGCTCCCCATCCTCCCTCCTCGGTTTGTACACGGTGACATCATCCTGCTGCTTCCTGTAGGCGTCTAGCGTTTCGACAGCTCATTGGACAGCCAGTCCAGACCCTCGTAGAGACCCGTCCCCTGAGTGGCGCAGGTGGCCTGGACGTGCCACTGGAACCAGAAACAAACCCGTCAGAACCAGAATCCATTCAGCATCAAAGCTGCAGTTTGTGACTTTTACTAAATCATGATTTTTACTTATTTGTTAAAATTGTGAAGGTTTAAAATAAGGAAGGAATGTGAAAAGATTAATCTTCACGTCCTCCCTGAGCTACTATTCAAGAAGAAAATCAGAGCCAGTGGGTGGGTCTTAGCGCTGTCAACCAGCGTCATGTACATGCAGCTCAATGTGCTAAGGGTGGAAAACCGCCTTACGTTTGGGAAAACCATTTATTGACAGTTATCAGTGGCTATGCTAACTAGCTTTAGCATTAACAGCAGGCTAAGCTAGCTGCAGGGTAGCTGTTTGAGATGCAAATCTTTCACTTTTGATTTGACTCCAACTTTTAGGGTCACGATTTGATTCAGAAACCAATTTTTCTATTCAAGCAGCCACGAGATTCTGTTTAAAGCAGTGCACCAAGGGTGATGGACAGCACTAAGACCCGCCTCCTGGCTCTGATTGGTCGTTTCTATTAAGAACTGGGAGGACTGGGGGAAGGCAGAGGAGCTCCACTTTTCCACAGATTATCTGTCTCATAAAATGTTTCAAAAATTGGTAAAATAAAAATTAAAGTTACATACTGCAGCTTTAAGAAACACAGCATACTATAAATTTCTAACAGGAAATAAGTTTGCCAGGAAATACAAATAAGGACAATTCTTACTACTGAAGCGCAAACAGAACAGAACACATATAAAGAGTGACTCATGTGACTCTGTTACACTTCAATAGGAAGTGTTACAAAAAGTCCTGACGCAAGAGGAAGGAAAGACGTGAAATGTTGGTTGCATCATTTCTGCCAAAGGGAAGGAAAACTGCTTTATTGCACAAAAAACAAATTTCTAACACTCTGAATTAGAGAATAATAACTGTCAAAGCTTCAAATAATCTTTAGGAGAAATGAACTGAAGAGATTTAAGAGATTTGTCCTTTTCAGATTTTACCAGGTGTGTAATGCACATTACAGCCACCAGGAGGCAGCAGTCTCTCAACTAGAGCTGAAGAAATGGAATAATATGTTTAAATGTCACAATGACAAGTTTCACTGGACCATAAACTGTCCCAGAAATTCTGTAATAAATTATATTATTATTTTGAGTCCATTTTTAAGTAATATATTAATAATGACATAACAATTCAAGTTTACCCTCCAAATGAATAATAAACTTTAATTTTCAACAGGACTGGAAGATATTTTAACTATATCAGAAGTCCAGACCTAATTCCAGCTCTGGGTTTGTGGCAATAAGATGAAAAGTAATTATTTTTAACATTTTCTTTGAGATAATGTGAGAAAAACGTTCAGACAGCAAAAAAATCTAATTCATCTGAGCTGCTTAAATGAGCTAAATACTTACTGCAACGAGGAATTATTTCAGTTAATAGATTAATCTCGATTATACTGACAATTAACTCGATAAAAATTGTACGATTTTGCACATTTTTAATTTATGCAATATTAGAGATGCATTAAAAGATACAAATAATTCAATTCCAATCTAAATTTTATTGCCTAAAATGCAGCAGAGCATTCCTTTAGTGAACGATCGATCATTTGTAGCAAAGGATGCATCTGCATCTTAATTCCAATACAGTGTAGGGATTATTTTATTGATTACCTGATTAATAATTGGACAGGAAAATGTGCTATTTTGAGTTTTTGTTTACATAATATCAACAAAGTGAAACTTTTAGGTAAAAATGTTTCACAGTTTTGGCTAAATTACTGCTCTGAATGTGTTGTTATTTCAGCAGATGGCCTTTTTTGCGTCTAATTAATCGTAAAATAGTTGACAATTACTTCACTAATCGATTATTCTCAATACCACCCTATGCTAAGCTTCCCACAGCTCCTGTTCTGCAGGTGGTGATTGTAAATCCATCCTTACGGTTCTGCTGCGCAGGCTGTGCAGGCCCAGTTTGTCGGTGAGTTCGCTGACTCCCATGGCGTTGGGAAGATCCTGTTTGTTTGCAAACACCAGAAGGACGGCGTCCTTCAGCTCGTCTTCCTGGATCTGAGGGAGACGGAGTCATGTGACCCGTGATGTCACCGATGACAGATCATGTCTGGATCTACTGACCACTCACCATCTTGGAGAGTTCCTCCGCCGACTCGGCCACTCTCTCTCTGTCGTTGCTATCCACCACGAAGATCAGACCCTGCAGGAGAAGAACCGGGTCAGAACGTCGGTAGTCGCAGTTTGAGCCTGCGCCTGCGGGGGGCGTACCTGCGTGTTCTGGAAGTAGTGCCTCCACAGAGGTCGGATCTTGTCCTGGCCGCCGACGTCCCACACCGTGAAGCAGATGTTCTTGTACTCCACCGTCTCCACGTTAAAACCTGAAACACGCAGCAGCCGTTAGCGAGCGCCAGGTCAGGCCAACGTTTCCGATGACTGTAGAACCAAATCAGCTCAGTGGAAACATGGCAATTTCAACGAGAAGTCTTTGCACTAGGATGAGGAGGTTTTTTTTGGCTGTATTGAAATTGGTGTATTTTGCAAAATTGCAACGGAAATCCTTTTTCCGCACCACAGAATTCATGCGATCAACAATCAGATGTTACTACTGGCAGAAACGACAAAGAAGACGACAGGAAGTGGTTGGAGGATGATGTTTTTTAATGAAAAACTTATTCAAATGATTTTGATTATATTTCTTATATAATGGAAACAAAATGTAAAATTGTGTTTTTTCGACATTAATGGAATACTGACAAAGTTTTGCGCTCATTTGTAATAGAAGCAGAGCTAGTCTCTCACTGAGCGCATGCAGTGAAATGGTCTTTCAAACACCAGTTTAAGGAAAAGAGTTTCCATTCATGCAGATGACGCTCTATTTATTCCTCCAGATATTAAATCCACATTTTTCTAAAATGTCACAATAAGTTGGTAACATTTTGTTAGGTTCGCTAAACTTTCTACATTTGAGGCTTTTCTGCAAGGCTCTACTCTTTGTTTTTACGACTTGCCCCTCTGGTTTGGGGAGTTATGATCCGTAACCATGGCAACAAGGTATTGCTTTTACCACCGGGAGCATCTGAAAAGCTCAAACAATACCTGATCGGCAACCAAAAACCCGGAGGAGCTGAAAATGAGGCTTCATGAACGCAGAGCAGTGAGAAGTCTGTCAGACGCAGATTTAAAGAGGAACGGCAAGAGCAAAAGCAAATGAGGTGGATCCACTCATATCGATGGAAAGTTTAGTGGAAGGTAAAAGTGAATATAAAGCAGGGCTGATTTGGAAATGAATGTTCCAGAGTATGAACAAATAGAGTAACTGGAGTCAGGAATTGGTTGGTTACTGATACTCCTGATCTGATTCTGTCCTAATGGACAAAAATAAAACTCTGAAGTTCACAAAGGTACAATGCAGTAACAACCAATAATCAATATTTCATCTCATCAACCCTCCTCCTGTTGACCTTTGAGCATTTAGCTGCTGGAATGACGATCTGAGCTCACCGATAGTTGGGATGGTGGTGACGATCTCTCCGAGTTTCAGTTTGTACAGGATTGTTGTTTTTCCAGCTGCATCCAGACCCACTGAAACAAGCAAAGGCAGAATGTTTCTGATTACCGACTCTGATCATTTGGTTCATACTTACTGGTGTTTAAATGGTATATATGTTATGTAATCACACACATCCTTCTACTAAAACAACTATGTTATTTTGGCCAACTTAAAATGGCCATTTATGTAACAAGAATAATTGAGACCAAACACTGACCCCTGTTGGACACCACAAGTAATGGACAAACATTTTCCTGATGGTCAGATCTACTTCATCTTATGTAACTTTTCACCCTAAAAATTCAATATTTTTTAAATATTTGCAACTAATTCTTTACTTTTCTGTTCTTTAAATCTAACAGTTTGTGAACAGACAGACACACAAATCCACAATAACAGAAAAGGATCCAGAAACAACAAGAATTCATCCAGAACTAAACCTTCAAGGCAGCAACTTCAGGACTGCGCCTGAAAACTGGACTCAGTTTCCTGAAAACAGGAAATACACCACATAAAAACAAAACCAATCCACAACTTTATTATGGTTTAAAAATATATGTATATTTAGAGATAATGTTCAGATCTTCGACTCACATAACTAGCTATAAAATAAATACAGAGTTTAATGCAAGTGGATCAAGAAAATAATCCAGGCAAAATAATTTAATCCAAATGTAAAAACATAATATCAGTGGATCCTGACTATTGGAGATCAAATCACAACTGGAACCAGTTTCAAACAAATGGACACAAGCTACTGGAAGTGAATCCAGCCCAACGCAACTGGATCAACAGATTAAGGAGTTGATCAATGACAAAACTGGATCAATAGCAACACGAAGTCATAAAGACACAGTAGATGACCATTTCTAAAAGCAGAAAAACTACACAGCAACTAAGAGAACTGTCTCTAAACTGACAGCAGCTTGATTCTGATTATTTCTGACTGGATCAGAAGATTAATGGAAAAAGACTAACTGAATCTGACAGTTTTAACAGATCTACCACTCCTTCCGTTTAGCTCTGACCGTTAGCGTCTGCTAACTAACTTAGCTTCGATTTGGTCCGTTTTCTTTAAAAGTCGCAGTAAAACATAGATCAGCACGAACTTAAACCGGGTGGCAGCGTAAAGTGTGACCGTTGAAAAGCAGCAGTTCGGCTGTAGAGTTCGCTTTCAGTCAGCCGCCGGTACTGGCCCAATCAGATCGGAGCTAGTTAGCCTAGCCGCAACGCTTACCCATCAGTATCCTCATCTGTTTCTTCCCGAACAGCCTGGAGAACAGAGACGAGATGGTCAGACCCATTTTTTAATCAACAACGTCTTCCACAGAGGCAGCCTGAGTAGATGACAAGCTGAGGGTGGGAGTTCTTAGGCGCTTAGCCCGCTGAGGCTGCTGTCAGAACCGAATAACAAGCCTAGAAGAACCGGATCAAATAGAATTGTGGGCGCTGCTCCTCCTTGGTGCCACGTCCAGGCCAACGCGGAATAAATGACGTCACGATTTTGAAACAACTTTATTAACAACTCCAAGAACAATGATGCGTTTGGGTCCCCAGGAAAAAAATGAAGACATGAAAATTATATTCTCATAATTTAGATATTTTAGGTATTAAACAAAATGTCTTATACAGCGGAGTAAAATATCCAATAGTTGACTGAAAATCAGTGTGAAATTGTTCCACTAGACTGAATAGATGAGCCACACATTTTTTCTTTTAAAATTTTAACTCTTTTAAATTTTTTAACAATTTTTTTGTCAAAATGTATTATTTCTCTTCAATAGCTTCCAGGTCAGACTCACTGACTCATTGACTCAAAATCAATGTGAAACTGTTCTACTAGACTGGTAGACAAATTTTTATCCCATTTAAAGTCTTTTTTATTTTTCTGTAATTTTATAAAAATACAAAATAGGTTTTCAATAGCTTCCATGTCATGTGATCCACTGACGAGGAGTAAAAATGAGTGTGCCTTGTCAAAATAGTCCAGTAGATAATTTTCCACTGATTTTGAGTCAACAAGTCACATGACTTGGAAGCTATTGAGGAAAAATGATAAATTTTGATTTATAAAGTGTCTAAATAATCTACAGAAGACAACAGAATAATAAAAATGAGTGTGTCTCATCTATCTGGTGTAACAGAACAATTTTATATTGATCTGTCGTTAATGAGTCAGATGCTATTGAAGCAAAATACAGAATTTTGACTAAAAAAATTGTTAAAAAATATATAAGAATAGTAAAATAATTTCACATTGATTTTGATTCAATAAGTCAAAAACATATTTTTTTAAAAAATATAGAATTAGCTGAAAAATATAAAAAGGGTTCAAATGGTATAAAAATGTGAATATATTTCCTATTTAAGCAACTTTATATACCACAGACCTAGGGTTATTGCTTTCTCTACTGAATCCACGCTTCTCAAAAGTGGAGTAAAGTCGTCTACAGCTTTAATAATAAAATAATAAGAAAGAGTAAAACCAACAAATAACTAATTTACAATATATTCCGTTTTTTAAATGTTTTAATCATGACTGGAATCCAAAAAACATTTCAAAGGAAAAAAAAAAACACTTACCCTAAATAATACTGGAAATAGCGCCCTCTATGGGGGTGACATTTGTCCCCGCCCCTTCCTGTTTGCCGCAGGGCGGTCCTCTCGTTAGTTCCGCTGTGGCAGAACATGGCGGCTGTCAACAGCTGCTTCTGTGAGACAGGAGAGGGCTAACAGGATTTTTTTTGGACCGGTTTGTTGTGTTTCGATTTGATGTCGACAGCAAAGTATATTTAGTTTAATTAGTTTGTGACTCTAACGCGCTGAAAGCCGCTTATTGCATCTGGAAACCGATTATCAGGTAAGAACCGGATCCAACCAGCGGGATAGTGGACGGTGAAGTTGTCAGACTTTTTGATAATTCGAATGTAAAACAACAATTTCTGCAGATTACAACGAAATTTGCTTAATTAAAACACAAATTTAAGACAAGTGAATCAAAAATAGAATATATAAATAAACATTTTTCAATACATAGACATAAAATAGAGCTTTTTGTCTACCATTTTTGCCACTATCTGTCTCTGAATGTGGAATCTTGTGGAACCTGAAATTCTACATTTATTTTACAACTGTAGAGCTGTATTTTAACCGAAATTCAAACAATTTCAATGTATTACTAGACTGGACTGTGATGCATTTGCCTGTAAGATTTATATTTACAGACTGCGTTGCTGCACCAGGAAGTCACTATTTGAGGATCCAAACTAACTGGACTAAAGCCAAAACCGGATCCTGAATAGCAGAACCAGATTGCAGAAATCACCCAATAATAATTAGGAGCGCGACTGGATCCATAAATAGTTTCACATTATTGGAGTTGAATAATAACATATTTCAGAAAATATTTTAAAATATTTTATATCCAAACAGAATAAAACCGTGCAACATATTACTGTAAAAAAAAAATTCAAAGTGTGGAAACAAGCATTAAAGTTTGCATCCTCACCCTCTCAGGTTGAATGTTTTTCATATTTCCCTTTAGTCACTTTAATTTTAGGATGAAACATACTCTCCATAACCACCTGTTGGCCATTTTGACAAGTAGCTACCAGATAAAGTAAACAAGATCAAGAAAATATATAGAATTTCCATGGTTCAAAATATTTATAAATATGCAGGATTTGACCACAACAGATTTATCTAATTATAGGATAACAACAGTGTCCATCTTGAACAATTGTGCACCAAGAAAAATAAGATAAAAAATTATCAATAAGTCAAATTTGTTGTTGTTGTTTTTGATGGGTGAAATTGTTTAATCTGACAATATAAATATTGGCAATTGTAGTCCAAATATAAATTTTCGTTAGCAGCCATCTTGAATGTTTTTTAAAAAAGATAAGTCTTGTGAATATCTGTGTTCATGCAGATTAATTCAAATCAATTCAAACAATGGAAAAAGGAAATTAAATACTTGATATAAAAACCGAATTTGTATCCATAAACAGCTTGATTCTGATTTTATTTTTATTAACTGACAGCAGGTCAGCCTGCAGATGTTTAATGAAGTATTTCTCTCTTTTAGTTTAGATGCGAGGACAGCCGAGTCCACTATGAGACCTGCATGAGTCTGATCTCTGTATGACGATGGAACCGGTCTGACCTGGACTCAGCCCGACATGGAGAAGTTTGGGATGAGTTTTGGCGGCGGCCCCAGCAGGAAGGAGCTGCTGGACACCATCGAGTCTCAGAAAAAGCAGCTGGTCCAGTACCAGACCCGCTTTAAGGATGTAGTCCGGGCCTACAAGAGCCTCCTGAAGGAGAAGGAGGCTCTGGAAGCCAGCCTGAAGGTTCTGACCGTCACCCAGGACCTGGACATTAAGCAGCAGGAGCCAGATGCAGCCAGGCGGCTGGACCTGCTGGACGACGGTTGCTCTCTGCACAGCGAGGACAGTGTGGACACAGCAGCGTCTGTGGACACCACCAGTGAGACCAACAGAGGGGAGCAGAGTGAGGAGGACCAGGGGGAACCGGGCCAGAGGTCCGACTCTACGGTACGTCTGAGTCACTTCCTTTCTGTTAAATCTAACATGATTTAACAGTATATGTTACTGGATTGGACAGCGGCTAATTGCTGCTCTCGCTGGATGAGCCGGAATCTATCACAATATCCAATTTCGATAAAATATGAGAACATTTATGATGTTTTGATGAGCAAACTATGTATTCTCCCTTTATACATAAACAGTTTGGCTTCCGTCAAGAAAGGACAAAACTAATGTCTCTTCAATATTGGACAATAATTTAATATTTCATTATTTCCACTGTTGGAGTTGTAGTTTGATAAAATTTAACAAACTACGACTTCTATAATATATGAAATATGTTATGATATTTGATGACTGTTGTGAATATCGCATCGTTTTACACAATTTCTCCAGTTTTTGTCGTTTGTTATTTTTATAGAAATTACAGAGACTGAAATGCGCCACAAACAAGGGAAAACTACAAAATAAAATATAACATTAGAATGAAATCATACAAGAATAATGTCTATATAATACCAGTATAAAGTCGTAATATATCGAAAACAAAGTCATAGTATCATGAGAATCAAGTCACACTACATAAAAGTCTAATAATATAAAAATAAAATCGTATTTCAAGAATGAAGTCATAAATAAAATCTAAATAACATAAGAATAAAGAGGTAATATTTTATGAATAAAGTCATATTATAATAGTTGTAATATTATGACGTTATTCTCATAATACAACGACTTTATTTTCATATTATTTCGACTTCATTCTCACAATTTTATGTTTTTTATTTTGGCCCTAATTGTCCAACTCAAAGTGGCTCGTTTTCCTCTTTTCTCTCGCTCTGCCAACTTTACTCTGCACGCAGACCTGTTGCCACGGCAACCGAATGACAGTAGCTGTTTCCCACTCAGCGTGACGTCGAGCGTGTGGCTCAGGATAACGACCTGATGTTCAGTCCAGTAATATGTGCCGATTGTTTTTCTGCAGCCTGATGCTGACAGCGGCAGCGTGGAGGCGGAGCAACATCAAGCTCCTCCCCCCTCCAATGTGGAGGCCGAGCGCCGTGTCGCCCAGCTGAAGAGCCAGCTGAGCACGCTCACCGCTTCGCTGTCCACCGTCTCGCAGGAGAAATCCCGCATGGAGGCGAGCTTCCAGGCCGACAAGCGCCAGCTGAAACAGGAAGTGCAGGAGCTGCAGGAGCGTCTGGCCGCCGTGACGGCGGCGCAGGAGGCGGAGCTTCACGCCCTGCAGCAGCAGGTGGCGGAGGGCCGCGCTCGCATCATCACGCAGCAGCACGAGAGGGAGCAGGAGCAGGGGGACCACGTCCAGCAGCTCAGGGAGCTGCAGAGGCTCCTGCAGCAGGAGCGGGACCTGCGGCAGGACGCCGAGCTGCGCCTGCATGACGCCAGCGCCGCCCTCCTGGCCTCGTCGCAGGCCGTGGACCGGGGGGCTGAGTCAGAGGCGCAGCTGAACCTGGTGAGGGAAGAGAGGGACGAGCTGCGGAGGAGGCTCCAGGCGGCGGAGGAGGAGCAGAGGAAGCCGGACCCCAGAGTGGAGGAGCTGCAGCAGGAAGTGCAGGAGCTGAAGAACTCCTTCCAGCAGCAGATCCACAACGAGACCAAGAAGGTGAGATCAGAACGGGCACAGAGTCTGGAGTTTATTTAGATACGTCTGGGCGATACGGACCTACAGGCTTATCACGATATATTAGAATTATTGTGATAACGATGAAAGTAATGATCAGAACTATTTACCTACTTCTTTTGTAGGTAATTATATGGCACAGCAAATACTGCTGCTGATAAACACGTTTATAATATGCTGCTTTAGGACACCAGTCACTAAACTGCACACAGTCACTGAATTTTTGTTGTTCCTTAAGAGACTTTTAAACATTTTTGAATCTTTTTGCAGCAGAAAGTGGTAATATTATGAGAATAAAAGTCATATTACAAGAACAAAGTTGCAATACTGTCGTAATGACATGAAAATCAAAATTAGAGTTCCTTTTAGTGTCATTGTGCATGAAAGAAAGTACTGTGAAATTTAAAACAGCAACTCTCAAAGGTAAGTCAAATAATTGAATAAAATAATATAAATCTATAAATCTAGTAGAAATGCACAGATACAACTGGAAAAATAAATTAAGGAAAAATAAATGAAATGAAAATAAAGTTGTAATAATTTTATTACTAAAAGGAAAATAATAAAGAATTAGAAAATTGCTGTTCCTCCAGAAAGAGCTTTCTTCAGCTGAGCGGGGTTGCTAGGTAACGGTGGAACTCCATTGGGGTTGCTAGGTAACGAGGCAGTGCCTCCTGATTTGTGACATTCTGGAGGTTTTGAACCAGCTAATTTTCCAGGCACCAATTAACATGAACTTGTTGCCAAAATGCGGCTTTTTTTTTATTTTATTTTTTATTTTTTTGGTTTTGTTTTTTAAGCAATTGGTTGTTTTCAGAAGCAGTTGAGACTCAAATAAAACTAGAAAAACTGGCAAAACGTAAATTTTGTATAATAAGCAGATTTTTGCCCCCTAAACTCCACCATCACCTCTTTGGTCTTGGTGACAAAGCCACAGATTTATCCACCAGTTTTCTGGGTTTGTTTCGTTGTTAGCACTGCAGAGCTGCAGACGTGTGTCTCATGCTTTTAGTTTTTGTTTCGCAGGTTTGCGAGGCAGAGGAGCGAGCGCGAGAGCGCGCTCAGGCTGCAGAGCTGCGGGTTGCGGGTTTGGAGCAGCGGGTGTCTGAGCTGTCGGAGCTGCTGGGTTCCTGTGAGAAGGCGAAGCAGCGGGACCAGCAGGCAGCTCAGAGGCTGAGGGACCGGATCCTGCAGCTGGACACCGAGAACAAGACGCTGGCCATCGCCGCCTCCAGCAGGTCCAGCACCGACCTCAACGACGAGTCGCAGCTGGACGTGGCCGTCCTGAAGGACAAACTGCAGACGGTGAAGAAGCTGCTGCTGCTGGCGACTCAGAGGAACCCGGACCAGAACATCCAGGATGTGGCAGACGCCGAGGACAGAACCGCAGCTCTGCAGCAGCAGGAGCTGCAGCAGCTGCGGGACGAGTTTGAGCGCTACAAGCTGCGCGCCCAGGTGGTTCTGAAGAACAAGACTGCTAAAGATGGCTGCCAGGCCAAGGAGCTGGAGGAAGTCCGGGATCAGCTGGCGGAGCTGCGGGAGAAGTACATCACCCTGCGGATCCAGAGCGACGAGGCGGAGGCGCGGCACCGCCAGCAGCTGGAGGAGCGGCAGCAGCAGGCGGCGGCGCTGCAGCTCTCCCACAGACAGGAGCTGGAACGAGGCGAGGCGCAGCACCGCGACGAGCTGCAGCGGCTGGAGGTGGAGCTGCACAAGCACCGGGAGAGAACGATGGCGCTGCTGGACGAGAAGGACCAGGAGCTGGAGAGGCTGCGCGCCGCCGTGCTCACCTGCAGCCGTGACTCCAACGACCCCGCCGCTGATGGTCTGCAGGAAGCTGCCGCTGGCACCTCCGACTGCGAAGGTTTTATTCCTATTATTATTGTTTAATCAACGATATCTCATAGAGGTATAAGGAACAGTAAAACATAGGCAGGTAAAAAAATAAATAAACATGGACAAACATAAACAGACAAACACATATCAGTATCTGCAGCTCCATTACAAATATGCACCAATCTTTATCTGCAGCTGCGTTTCCATTGACCATATAATTACAAAGTCTGACACTTTGGAAATTAATTCGCTTAAAAATACATCTTAGATTTTTCTGGAAGTACATTTTGTGTTTTAATTCAAATGTATTCTCTGCAAATATGTAGACAAACATACTTGGTAAGATTTTGTGTTTTTGCAGCGTATGCAAAAGGTAGTCCAAACTTTTTGACACGTGGGCTTAAATTGCCAAGTCAGAAATACTTTTTTACTACTTTTTAAAACACTTTAAAATCAAATTTTATCTGCTCAACAATAAACTAAGCATACAGTAAATAAAACAGTTAGACATTTTGTAAGAATGGTTGTGTAAATCAGTATATCCTCCCAAATTTAAAAAGGATTTCAAATTGCACGTTTTTGTGGAAAGAAATACTAAACAAATAGAAAAAATGTCTCAACTTGGGGTGTGCTGTGGTGGTGCAGGGGTTTAGCACAACCCACATATGGAGACCTTAGTCCTCAACACAGCTGTCACAGGTTCAATTCCTGGCCTTGGCAACCTTTGCTGCATGTCTTCCCCCTTCTCTCATTACACACTTTCCTGTTAATTAACTATCAAATAAAGGCCGCTAGAGCAAAAAAAAAAAATGTCTCAACTACAAAAACCCGATTTGTTACTTTTTGTATGAAATTTTGATGTAAACCACCATGTTTACTAAATTAAAAGCAGTCTGCTTTTGAGTGAAAGTCACTAAATAGATGTGCTCAAAAAGTGTGGCCATAAATAGATGGATGCTTTCTATTGCAGCAAACATTTTCATTATGGGGAAATTTTAATTTGTTTGTAATTATTAAAAACAAAAAGTCTCCATCTGCATCAGCTGTCTGTGCTGGCAGATAAACTTGTGTAACATTTAAATTGTAGTTGGAGGGCCACTTAAAATCAGTCCAGGGGGCCACCTGTGGCCCACGAGCCGCACTTTGGACACCCCTGATATACAGATTTCATTTTTAAAAGATGGCTGAAAAGGTTAAGTTAAAAAGAATCATAAACTAATGTTTATATTTTTAATTTAATGACTTTTGTGGCTCCCCAGTTCAAATATGAATAATTCAAAAGAATACTTTATAAGATTTACATACTTATTTATATACTTTATAAGAACTATAGGAATAGGTTTGCATATTTTTAGATATTCATGACAAATTCTCTGCAATTTATCAAAACATCATTGCTGTCCGACTGTGCAGGTGACGCGGTAAGCGAGGCGCTGCGGCAGTCCACGCCCACTGAGTCCACACTGCTGCTGTACGCCGAGCAGCTGGCGCGTAAGGAGGTGGAGACGGGCGGCCTGCGGCGGCAGAAACATCGCCTGGAGGAGGATCTGCACCAGCTGCAGGCCCGGCTGATCGCCAACGCGGAGCGGCACGAGGAGGAGACTGCAGCGCTGCAGGGCCGCCTCGACAAGCTGATCCGGGACCAGAACCGAGAGGGAGCCAACTTGGAGTACCTGAAGAACGTCATCTACAAGTTCCTGACGCTGCAGGACAGCAGCGGGCGGCTGCAGACGCTGAACGCCATCCTGACCATCCTGCACTTCAGCCCACAGGAGAAGCAGGACGTTATAAAGCTGCAGGGGCCCGCCTGGTGGGGCCCCGTGCGCAGGTGAACACCTGGAGAGACGCATGAGTAATTCCATACATATGACCATGACTGGCTCACTGTGACAACTATTAAAGCTCTAATCCAGCAGATTGTCTTTATATTTTGAATTAATTGGAAAATAAACTATTTTTTGTGTGAGATTGAGTATGTTTTCTGGGATTCATTCTTAGAACAAGCATTTTTCTTTAGATTTATTTAATTTACAGAATTTAATGTATGTAAAATTAAGGCTTAAATTCATTAGATTTTTCACTGTCCTGACAGAAAAAATGCGGGAAAAGAAAAAAATTAGCTCCATTGCTCCTAGTTCTAAGTAGGAACAACCAATCAGAGCCAGGAGGCGGGTCTTAGTGCTGCCAATCATTCCCTATCAGTCTGTTATGCTCCAGCTAGCACATCTTGCTGTGAATGCTAAAGCTAGTTAGCAGACACGATAGGTTGATTCTCCGCCATTAGTACATTTATCAGAGAGTACGTGGCAGCGCTAAGACCCTCCTCTTTGCTCTGATTGGTTGTTTTTGGTCAGGTACATTTATTCAAACAGCAATAGTAGCTAACCAAGGAGGCGGAGGAGGTCGATCTGTTCATATTATCTGCATCATAAATGTCAGCATAACAGTTTTAACATCAAAAAACATTGATGAAAGTTAAATACTATAGATTTAATCGTAGGTTTTGTCGTCGTATGACTATTTTAATCGCGGGACTTTTTGTCCAACGTTTGAATCGCGCGCAGATATCTTCGTTGCGTTCTGTGGCTAGCGCTAATTAGCTGCTAATACGTTAGCTAGCTAGCTACCTAGCGTTTTGCGTCCGTCATGGATAAAATGTAAATTTGTCTTTCTTACTGACAAATTTAGTTACGTGAACTCGGTGCAAAAAGCTTGGAACTACTACGTAAATTTCGTTTGTACATTTCTTTCGTCATTAATAGGACTTTATTTCAGAAAAGTATCCAGACCAACATCCTGATGTATAAGGAAACTTAATCCAGACTAAACTGAATCCAGAACCTGATCAGTTTCAATGTTAAGTTCAAAACAGACCCAGGCTCAGATGATTCAAGTTTTATTTTTTAGAGCACAAATACATGAAGAGAGAGCAGCGTGTTAGTGGTAATTTCTCTATAATACTAGAAAAATAATGCCATGTGTTTCGACTGTCTGCTATTCTGAGTTGGGCTTTTCTTTTAGATAAATTAATATATTCGCATAAATTAATATCTATGAAATATCTGCAGCCAGAATTATCTCACTTCTACATTGAGTTTCTATCAAGATGTCTCAGCTTTAAGCAGTGGGAATAAAGTCATAAAAAATTAAAGTCATTTTGAGAATATAGTTACAAGAATAAAGTCTTGTGACTATATTCACACCTCTACTAGGAGTAATCCCACAAGTAGAAGAGTAAAGCCGTAATAGTAAAAAAAAAAAAAAGAATAAGTTATACAAGAAAAGAGTTGTAGGAAACTAAAGTCGTTATTTTATGAGAATAAAGTCAGCAGAAAAATAGTCTTAATATGAGGATAATTTGTACTAGAATAAAATTAAACCAGAAAATAGTCATACTATTGTCAGAATAAGTCACGTGGGAATAAAGTCTTAATATATTCAGAGTATATTAAGATGAAATACATGGAGAGCAGCATGTTAGTGTTTTTAATTTCTCAGACTAGAAAAATAACGGCTGTGTGCTTCGACTGTCTGCTGTTGGGTTTTCTGTTGAGATAAATGAAAATCTTCTGTGTCGTCATGACAGCAGATGAGTCTTCACCAGACTCATCTGCTTTCTGCATTGTTTGGGCTTATATCAGGTGTGATGGCGTCAGCGTGCGTTCAGGACGGGCTGCAGGTCTTCAGGCAGCGAGCCGACTATAGAGTTTATGAAAGCGTCCAGTTTGTCTAAAACTTCATCTTTGACCTGCAGCTGCTGCCGGCGAGCTTTGATCTGGAAGAAACAGGCAGTTACGAACACATTCTGATTAATTTCCAGAACCGTCTTCTCATTTTAAATCTCATTACCAGCTTTTCTCTGAGCTTCAGGATCAGGTCCACGATCTCCACCTCCGACTTGTCTTTGGTCCAGCCCATAAGGTCCTGCACAAAACCCGGCGTCACCGTTACAAGATGGAAACACGTCGGAAATATTCAAACACTGGAGGTGAGGAAAGACACTCACTGCGTCGCAGATCGTCTCCAGATGGAGGCTCTCCAGCTTCTGCGTCATCTCTCTGTGGCGCTGGCGGTACCAGCCGTCAAAGTTCGGGGACCTGAAGAACCTCCTGAGCGGAAGAAAACGATATTTAATTTAAATTAGGCGTATCTGGTGTGAAAACAGCAAAAGAATGCCATATTGACAGTCAAACACGGTGGTGGCAGGATGATGTCTGAAACAGCAAAAACTTTTCCCATCTCTGCTTTTTTTCTATTTTAACATCAATGCTGCTCTGAGGTCAAATCCCATGATGCTTTGCATTAGTTTTAAGAACATTCTTAATTAGAGAATATTTACAACAATAATTTTTGGATGCACCACAGCAGTTAACCTGCTGCTACCTGTGCGACTCACCTGTACAGACCCATCCAGTCCCCTCTGAGCATGGAGGTGAGCTGAGGGCCGGTCTGATCCAGAGTGGAAATGAACTCATCCTGACTGAAGGGACGAACCTGCGGAGGAGTCTGAGCAAAAACAAACACCAAGTCGTTGTTTTATTGCTGCTAGAGATCCCCTGTGATGACGGCCGTACCTTCCAGGGTGTGACCGATCTCTGCAGAGGCATCAGGCTCGCCATGTACCGCTCCTGTCAGACAAGACGGAGGGTTTACTGACAGTTTCACCTGCAGAATCACCTGCTTCTGCACCGATTCCTCACCAGAGGAATGATGAAGCTCTGCGTCAGCTCAAGCAGGTGTCGCCTCAAGATGGCACTCTGAGCCTCTGACGGCCTTTTCCTCTGGATTCCCTGAAAGAAAAAAAAAGAGGATTCTCTGTAAGCTGCTGGTTTTTAAATGACCAGACAACATGGACCTGTGCTCACCTTCAAAAGCCTCTTGATAAGGATCTTGTCTTTGTGTAGAAACGTTTTGTAGGCTGTGTAAATCCCTGCACACAAACATTCAAACACCAGCAAGCTGCAGGCGTGAACTAAAAGCAGAAAGACGAGTCAGGCTAAGTTACCTGGTTTGGTGTCGAGAGTTTTTAGTTTGGACAACTTCTTCACCTTCACCTGCTTCGGAAGATCACCTAGAAAACGCAGACACCCAAATCTAATAAGGTTTGATCTGCAGTCAGAGACAAACCGATACAAAGAGAGCGAAGTCTACCGGCCATCTTTATCTCTCCCAGTCGAACGATGTGAGGCCAGTTCTGAAAAGTCTTGATGAAGAACGGGTTGGTGACTCCCAGAACCACATTTGGACTGAAGCAGAAAGAGAGAGAAACGAGAGGTATGTGGAACAATCACACTGGCAGCTGAAACGATTAATCGGATTAATTGTGATTAATTGATTACTGAAATGATGGTCAACTAATTTGGTAACTGATTAATCTTTAACTTGTGTATACAGACTCTAACAAAGACCATTTAATGAAAGACCAACATATTTAGAGGAGAAATTAAGCTAGAAGCATAAACATGTTGCATTTAAGATAAAAAAAAAACTTGTTTTTAAAAATGTACTCAACCCAGAACTCCTCAAGTGGAAGTTCTAGCTTTCATTAGGCTTAAATAAAAACAATCTCCTATTAAGCATCTTTTGCTTTCAAATTATTAATAAAAATAGTTATGTAAAGTCAAGCAGATAGACCCGAGATTTTCACATGTAGGTGCAGATTGGCCTCCCAGCCACAAGAGGGCCTCAAAGCTTCATGTTCAGCCTCATCTTTATAAAATAAACTATAATAGTTTATAACAAACTTTATTATTTATAAAATGTACTAATAAACTTCATTTAAAAAGTTAAAATAAAGTTTATCTATAAATAATAAAACAATAAAAATGTTCAACTTGCTTGAATTTTAAACATTTAAAATTTAAAAATTAGATTTTAAATATTTAAAATGTTAAACGTTTAAAATTAAACATTTAATTTGGCGTTTTGGGGGCCACAGACTCACGGCGCCTGCGTCCGGGTCGTGTACTCTCTGAACTCGCTGTCATGGATGGTGAAATACGGCCGAAAGTCACAGCAGAACTTCAGAGGGCTTATGGAGCTGAGAGGGATGGAAATGTTCACACCTGCTGTTACCATGACAACGCCAACACTCCCTGCTGATTGGCCCCCAGGCTCTTTTAGTAGCTACCTGACCAGCGCCAGTATCGTTTCTGAGCAGACAGTTGGAGACGGCGCCATGACGACCAGCGGCTCGCCGAGCAGCATCAGCTCCCACAGCATCTGGAGGTGGATCAGAACCGACTGGAAACACCTGAGGAGGACGGAGGAGGGGGGGTGAGAGACGGCTACCGCTGGGACCAATCAGTGGTTCAGTTCATAACAAGGGCAGGGGGCAGCACTAACTTAAAGAGGTCCAGTTCGTGGATGGTTGGAAGGAGTGTTGGAGCTGGCAGTGGGCTCTAGAAGGACAAGCTGTTACTATGACAACAGAATCTGAGGGACAGGAAGGAGGAGGGAGAACGGATCTGACCTCGTTAGTTATCTGTTTGACGGGACTTCCTCCCGGTTTGTCTGTTTTTGAAGGAATTATAACCTGAAACAGAGAAAAATAACAGAAAAGGTGATTTTCCACACGTCTCTACGTTTACCTGTGTCTACCTCTGCTGACCTGTAAGACAACGCCCACGACGGGCAGGTTGAGTGTCTGTCCAGGTGAGGGGTTGGGCCACTGGTCAATCTCATTGCAAACTTCAAGATGAACAGAGTTTGGATGAGTCAAACTGACTTGTTTTAATGATACAGGCACAGAGGAGTCAATATACAAGCCTGTATTAGAAGAAAAGGCGTAAATTTATACTCAACTCAAAACCCTTGAGATTAGTCACAGAAATTTTCTAGAAAAAAGCTAAGAAATTTCTGACCTTGAAAAGTAAAAAACAAAATGCTATTAAAAAAATCTAAAATTTAAAAAACATAATCTCTCAAATTTCCTAAAAGAAAATAAGACATTTCTGAGGTTAAAGTTGTAAATTTGCTAGAAAAAAACTCTGAAATTAGTCTCTAGAAAAAAAAATATTGGAAATTTCTGAGTTCCAAAAGTAAAAATTTTCCACCTTTTGAATTTCAGAAACTCAGACAAGCGTCATCACCTGCTTCCAAGAAGGGTTCCAGCTTCTCGAAGAACTCCGGTGCAATGATCTGCAGCACCGAATGAAACAGGTGTGTGTAGGGCAACCTGGACACCAACACTAGCGACTGAAAGGTAACGTCAAGATAAAAACCTTCAGGTGACCTCATCAAATTAAACATCAAGTAATGGAGGAGAACAGGTGAGCTACCTTCTGAAAATAGCCTCTCTTCACAGACACATCCTTCACCTGACGGAAGTAGACGTAGCCGAAAAAATGTGCCGTTTCCCTCTGAGGAGACATCACACTTGTTTTACCTGCTCTCTGTGAGACACACCTGAATGCAGATGTCTCAGGTAAGCTCACCTGCAGCGTGGCTGGGGCGTCTCTGTTATAGATGTCGACTTTGAAACTTTGACGCCCAACTGATTGGCGTAACCTGAAGGTGAACTGAGTGTCCCCAAGGCATCCTGAGGAAAATCAGATTTACATCGTTTGACCTTTGAACTTCACCTCCTCAGAAAAACTAAATTTAATAAATGTTTCTTTACCCGAGTAGGAGTCAGGAAAAGACAAGTAACAGATACTGGTTTTCTGACAAATAAATCAAAATAGCACCATAAGTCAGATGAAATGACTTAATTGAATATCAGATTTATTTGGATAAAAAAATACAATTAATGACAATAATAAATCACCTCTTTCTCTGTGAGTTTGACATCCTGCGGATAAACGAGCTGCAAGCGGAAAGAATGAATGAATACCAGACTCCATTTAAAATTCTATCAATTTAACTAGTCTTCATTTCTACAAAAGTCTTATTTATGAGAAAAATGTGACCAAATAATTTTAAAAACAAATAGATTTCTCAGCTACTAAACACGCCGAATTAAGAATTAAGCATTAGGCATTTTTTCATGTTTAAATATTTTTGTCTTACAAAGTAGGTTTTTCTACTAGACTGCTTCGATTTAAAGTGGTACATTATTCAAACGAAAATTGGTGTTAGCGATGCTAAGCTAGCGCACCTCAATGGCTTGTCCGAGCTCCAGATCGAAGGTAACCACACACACGCACTCCAGCCAGGAGGAGAAGCGGGTCCAGCCGGATCGGCTGTCTGCCGAAGCCTCTTCCCGTCTGGGAGAACCGAACCCGTCCAACGGATCCATCGCGGCAGGTGCGAAATTCGGCTCCCCTGAAATAAGCAGTTGGGGAGTCTGGGGGGCGCACAACAGCTGGAGAGGCGGATCCAAACCCATCGATTCTGAGCAAAAATAACAATAATACAGGTGCGCCTGAAATATTAGCATATGGTTAAAAATTGTAATATTTTGTGACACATAAATAGATTCAGTAAAAGTAGGGTGAAATATTTTAATATTTTATTTTTTATCATTTTGATGCTTATGTATCACTACATAATAGTGATAAACTATTATTGCTATTAGCTGTGATTTATTCTTTTTGTAGACTTCTTCATAAATTTTTGATAGAGTTCTTGCATGCTTGGACAATTATTCCCTCTGGTTTTGGATGCTGGGCATCTAGAAGGAGTTTCCTTGTACTTTATTCTTTCAGACAGTTGTTATGCGTAATTGTGGCAACATAACAGTTTATTTGCATCCCAAAAGCTCAAATAGTACTGGAAGTAGAACACCAAATCACAGATGAGTTGAAATGAAACCTACATTAATGCTTTCTAACCATATGGCCACAGAGACATTTAGAGAGAAACAGCAAAAGCTATAGAGATGGATTAGCAGTACTTGCTGAAGATGTAGGACATGCTACTATATTTTGTCCTCACTTCCTGGATTGCTAATTTGATCAGTTACTAAGTACTTAAGTAGATGGTTTACCAAATAAATGTTTACTCTTACTTGAGTAATTTCTTGGATGGGTGCTTTTTACCTTTACTTGAGTAAAAATATGCGTGTACAATATGAGATACTCTGCTCATCTCTGGTATCACTACATCCCTCGCAGACAATGTTAAAAGCCTTAAAACAATAATTATGACTTTCTTTTTTCCACAACTTGCCACACACAATATGGCGTCGAAACTGACGGACGCGGCAGTCAGCTGATTGGGACTTCCGTATCTGAGCGGTAGCACGTGACCGATATACTGGAAACCGTTGTTTGTCAGTGTTGCGCCGAGCAGTTAGTTTTATGGTCTGAACACCATCTTTTCCTTATTTTAAGCCGCGACTTTGACTCTACGGACTGCTAGCTTCGGTATTTTCCACCTGTATTCAGAAAATGGAGTTTAATCGCTTCTGTTTGAGGAGCTTTTTGAGTTGTTTGCTAATCTGCGTCACTCTGTGGAGCGAGCAAAGCTACGGGTTGTTTGGACAAGCCAACCGGAGACCAAACATCGTTTTAATCCTCACTGACGACTTGGACATCGCCATGGGCGGCTTGGTCGGTACATGTTATCACTACTAATTGATATTTAATGGTTAACAGCTTCAGATTTGTGTTAACTGTGGTAAAAATGTTCATTACGTCTGAATATAATTGTTAGTTCAGTCTAAAGCTGACCGCTCACATTCCTGGCTGAAACCATCATTTAGGAATCTTAATAGAGTCAGCAGGATTTCACTGAAGCTTTATCTCATCATTTTAGGTCAAAATACGGGTTTGGGGAGGACAATAATGCATCGTGTGAAGGAAAACGTTTTAAAGTTTATCTGTGTGGAATATTTCAGCAACAAGGCAAAGTGGTTTAAAACGGTAATCAATTATGAAACAAGCAACAAACATTACGTTTTGACCAATTCGATCATTAAGAATAATGATTATCAAATAAAAATAAAATCTGTTTTTTTCAGTTCCTGTCAATGAGAGGCAGCTTTAATAAAATGAGTTTTTAACCTGAATTTAAAAGAACGAACACATGTTTCAGGTGTTTAGTGGAAGTTTGTTCCAGATTAATGGAACAAACTTCCATGTTTGGTTCTGGTTCTGGGGACACAAAACAGAACCAGAAGACTGATACAGCAACAGCAGATCTTTAATGTAGTTTGGTGCTGAGCTATTCACAGATTTATAAACTAACAGAAGTATTTTAAAGTATATTCTCAGTGCTCTCAAGATAAACACGCGGTTGTTTCTTTAGATCTTTCTGGGATATTAGTATTTTAATTTTGGAAATGTTCTTCAGGTGTTAGACTGATTTTGTAACCGTCTTTATGCATCTGTGAAGGCTCAGACCCATATTTCAGTCCTGATTTTTAGTTTCTAGCTGTAATAACTGAAGCTGCATTCTGACTCTAGATCAATGTTTCTCAACCCTGGTCCTCACCGCCCCCCTGTCCTGCATGTTGTTGGTATTTCCCTTCTGCCACACACCTGAATTGCATCTCTGGGTGATTAACAGGCTTCTGCAGCACTTGACGGTCATGCAATCATTTGAATCAGCTGTTCTGGAATAGAGGCACATCTAAAACATGCAGAGCAGGGGGGCGGTGAGGACCAGGGTTGAGAAACACTGCTCTAGATCATTCCTCTTTAGGTCCGGAGACCTAAAACTTCAGTTTTGTTTCTATTCAACTGAGTAGAAAGCAATGAATGAATTATTCATTGCTTGAGTGGGTTCAGAATCACCTGGTGGCATTGTAACGTAGGGCTGTGTGTCATCTGCGTAGTTATGGTAACTAATCTTATTTCTTGTTATCTGAGTTGGTGTAGATATCAAATAGGAGGAGTCTCAGGATTGAACCTTGGGTAACCCCCACATATGAAAAATTACCTATTGACACAAAGAAGTCACTGTTCTTTAGATGAGATTAAAACCAGTTAAGAACTGGACTGGACTGTCAGGTTGCCTCAATTTAAAGTTGCAACATGAAGCAGAAATTTGCAATTTAGAGTTGAAACCTTAACCAGGGGTGTCAAACTCCAGTCCTCAAGGGCCGCTGTCCTGCAACTTTTAGATGTGCCTCTGCTGCACCACACCTGAAAAGAATAATTAGGTCATTTGCAAGGCTCAGGAGAACCGATCTACACAGGGAGGAGGTAATTAAGCCATTTCATTCCGCTGGTTTTTACCTGTGGCACATCTAAACACTGCAGGACAGCGGCCCTTGAGGACTGGAGTTTGACACCCCTGGTTTAGCCTCTGCTTTATGTCTTTAAAGGGATTTTTAAGACATTCTTAGTTTCTTTCTACAAGTCGTGATGTAACAAAACCACTTTGTTGTCTTTTAGAACCCTTTGACCAAGACTAAGAAACTAATTGGTGACACTGGGATAACCTTCACAAACGCGGTAAGTATCACCACTTCAGGCATCTTATAATGAGGAAGAGTAAAGCTGCAACCACAAAATCAGAGCTGTGCTTTAATGTGAACGTTTGCAGATCTTTTACTTTCAGATCTGGGATAATTAAGTACATAAATGTTGTTTGGATCTAATGGCAGCACAATATACTGAGGATGTTACCTAAAATTCTAAAGAGTAAAGAAGTTTATATTATCATAAGATTTTACCTAAAATTATCTATCATTATTTTAAAGCAGGACAAGGCTCACTCATACTGATTCTGTTTTTTTATTATTTTGTCAAAGCCTTGAACAGAGATTAGATATTATATAGGAGTCTACAGAATACTTTACATGTCAAACAGAAACAATAGAGAAACAAAGCAAATTTGTGCTCAAAGTGCAAAATCATTTTCCCAGTTGAGTTGAGAATATGGCGTTACATTGTGGCCACAAAGTTTGTTCAAAATAAAGCTAAAAAAAACTAAAAAAAAAAAAAGATTTGAAACTAAAAAAATTATATTGAAATTGAAAAAAGGTTTGTAACTTTTAAAAATGATCTGGAAATAAAAATTTGAAACTGAAAAAAATATGTTCAAAACTACTTTTCAGATTCAAGATTTTCTTTCAGCTTCAATTTTTTTCCTTTTGAACAAATATTATGGCCCAGATTTTGCTCCATATGAGTAACTATAATACATAAATAAAATAAAATTTCAAGAGGGGATGTGAAACTACAGTATCAATATTTTAGATATATAAACTTAAGTCAAATTATTATGAAACATAATAATTATACTTACCACAATTGTATGTTGCATACAATACGGCAGGGGTCACCAACCTTTTTGAGACTGGGAGCTACTTCATGGGTACAGAGTAACACGAAGGGCTACTTGTTTGATACAGACATACATTTTCTTAGCTCACTCTTAATAACAATAATACATATGTACACATGATTGCATGCGGTATGATCATATTGTTAGGGATTACTCGCTATAGATGTCAGTAATGATTTACCATGGCAGAAATAGTTAATTGCTATTATGTGATCAGAAGTTCTTAGTTCAGAGTTTTGAGTCCCTTTTGGAGCTTTTCTGTGTGATTCTAAATTTCCTCCAGGTGACAGGATGGATTATTGCAGCTGCAGCCGTTTACACTTTGAGTTCCTTGAGATTTTCCTTTTAAATAAAAAAGAAAAGAATAGTTATTGTATATTTTATTATCTAACCCTCTTTACTATTAAAATTGTGGAGAAAAAAACATTTTGTGTCAAAGCATCTTGTACGTAGCGCACATCAGTGTGAGCCTATGGGGGTGGGCACGCAAAAGGCTAAATCATATTGGTCAGTTTACTTTAGTTAATTTTTTGCTTTTTCTGTGAGCTAAAAATGAATGAGCTCCTCCCGTTGTCCTAAGATCCTGCCTGAGCTTTTTACCCTGCGCGGTTCTGACGGTCGCCGGTTTATTAGCCTTTTTGTGGTTTCGCGAACTGAAAAGCTGACGGGTCAACCGTAAAAAAAAAAAAAAAAGTTAGACAGGTTGGAGAGTAGCACAAAACTATCACTGTCTGCACCTAACCAGCACAAACCTAAACCACAAAAGCAGCGGACTTTTTTTTTTCTTTTTTTTCTACAAACGATGCTAAATAATAGACATGAAAGTGAAGCCTACCCGTATGATCCACGGAAAGACGGGGATGTTGATTCCCAGGTTCAGGTGGTGTCAGACATCCAGAGGAGGAGAAAGTGATGCAACATTGCTTAATTTTTACTCTTTTGGGGACTAGATTAAATTGTTTAACCCGCAGTCTGAGACGCTCAGTAGGGGTGGCAGATGTGACCCACCAGAACTGCACACGGTGTAAAGCTCAGCCGGGATCCAAATGACCGCTGTTAGAACTACAAGTGGGATCAAACTCCGCTCATTCATTTTTAGCTTACAGAAAAAGCGCCAAGCCGCCAAATAAACATAAACTGACCAGTGACATTTAGCT